ACTGCCCACTGCAGTGGAGCTCCTGTTGAAGCTCCTGGTATCCGTAGAATTCAGTGTTGGACAGTCAACTATAGAAGTGCAAATAAAATAGGGCAACAATAGTAGAACTAAAACTGCTTGGCAGCAGAATTATCTTAATAATCGACAGTGGAGATCATATAGTGGCGGTGGAGCGCGAAGGGAGAGTAGCCTCACACATGTGTATATCCCGTCATATTCCTGTGATAGTCACTATATCAAGTTCCCCACTCTTACTGACCATCTTCCATCAGGAGAGCTCCATTGTCAAGTTGTTGAGGGTCGGAGTTGACCCATCACACAATAGATGTAGTGCACTTCCTTCAGTAACCGCTGTTTCCCCCATAATGGATGGAGGGTTGAAAACTGATGGAGAGTGATAGTGATATACCAACTATAATCTAATTAGTTACATACCTTTAAAGAACAAAACTCCCACTTTTGCCATGAAATACTTCCCACTGCATGACCATGAACCATTTTTAAAAACCTCACAGCATTGTATGGTTGTGTTCGAGAATGTGCTACTGTCATTTACTACCAGTGTATCTGAATAATTATGCATATATTTCTTCACCACTCTTCCGAGAGTGCTTCTTGGAGTAACAACTGTGTCATTCACCCTGAACACCACCTCATTAATGAGACCCAAAAGTTATTAACAGATTTTGTGTGTAGTCACATTCGAAGCATACTGTATCCAGGGAGGCATCCACATAGATGATGGGTGTTATTGACACTGGTAAGGTCACAGTTGTCCCACAATCCTCAGGTCCTAGCTCAGACGCGAGTAGACTGAAGCAAACATTGAACCAAGCATAGCTGCATATCTTATGGACTTACCACAGCTCCACCAGATCCAGCATATCAACACAAAGTGGTAACGAATCGTAGTCAGGAAGGCTCGTGGCACGTGGAGCTTCATAACGGCTTCACCTTTCTTCCCGTGATCGTGATGTTGGGAGCTGCCGGAAGTGGGGCGGTCGGTGGTCCGCGTCTCCGTCCATATCGCGCCACGCGCAGTCAGCGCGCGCGCGATCGCGACGTCGTAGATCGTCACATTTTTGCGCATGCGCTCTGTGTGTAGCGGTCTGGCGGACTGGTCAATGCTGCCCCAACCACATCAGATATCTCCCTCCATGTGGTCACAATAAGCGTATTTCCCATGATTAGCATTTCAATCAATTCGCACACTTGGTGTGTTAGTGGGCATATTATACAGTTACACTGTACAGTTTCAAGTCAGTTCACTAGGTTCGTTTGCTTGTCTGCGTGCCATGATCTCTTTAGGAGTACCATAAGCCACATTGACATCCATCTCCAACCTCTCTTCTCTTGTCTTCTGCTCTGATGCTGTGTTGGAGTTATGACATAGTTTGGATATTGTTGGACAGTTTACACAAGTGTTTCACCTTTCTTTGTAAGAAGTACTATTTTCACAAGTGCTCCAAGTAGTAGACCAGTTTGAACCAAGACAATGAGAGAGAGAATTATTACCCCCACGAACTTGACATGGTTGGAGAGTAGACATTTGTCCTGTGTGAGGCACATAAACATGTTTGTAAGAGACAGTTGCGGTTTTATCAGCACAAACAGCAGCAGTTTGTTTGGCAAACTATGTAACCACAGGGTGAAACAAAATGTTGACCTGGGTCCTCTGTACAATCCAGAGTAGAGAGAGGGTGAGGGTCCCATACTCCAGTAGCTACTAGTACACTGAGTAGTGTACACATCAGTGGGACCATCTCTACACTGATAGGTAGCAGTACTGCCCATTGCAGTGGAGCTCATGTTCACTATCATGGTATCCGTAGAATTAAGTGTTGGACAGTCAACTATAAAGTGCAAATAAGGACAACACTATTAGAACTAAAACCTACTTGGCAGAGTTATCTTAATATCCACAGTGGTGTTCATAGTAGCAGTGGAGCGAGGGAGAGTAGCTACACAGGTGTATATCCCAGTCATATTCCTGGTGGTAGTCACTATATCAAGTTCCCCACTCTGACTGGCCATTTTCCCATCAGGAGAGATCCATTGTAAAATTGGTTGAGGGTCCGAGTTTGACCCATCACACAATAGATGTAGTGTACTTCCTTCAGTAACCTCTGTTTCCCCCATAATGGATGGAGGGTTGAAAACTGGTGGAGATAATTTAGTGATAGTGATACAAACTATAATTTAATTTAGTTAGCTACATACCTTTAAAGAGCAAAACTCCTACTTTTGCCATGAAAAACTTCCAACTGCACGACCGTGAACCATTGGTAAAAACCTCACAGCATTGTATGTTTGTATCCCAGAATGTATTGAACACACTGCCACTGTCAGTCACTACCAGTGTATCTGAAAAATCATGTGGATATTTCTTCACCACTCTTCCCAGGGTGCTGCTGGAAGTAACATTTGTGTCATTGACCCCGAACACCACCTCACTAATGAGACCGAAATATTGTGTGTAGTCACATTCGAAGCATACTGTATCCAGGGAGGCATTCACATAGATGATGGTGTTATTGACACTGGTAAGGTTCACAGTTGTCCCACAATCCTCAGGTCCTAGCTCAGACGAGTAGACTGAAGCAAAACATTGAACCAAACATAGCTGCATATCTTATGGACTTACCACAGCTCCACCAGATCCAGCATATCAACACAAAGCGGTAACGAATCGTAGTCGAGAAGGCTCGTGGCACGTGGGGCTTCATAACGGCGTCACCTTTCTCCACTAGCTCCCCATATGAGCGCGAAACATGTGATCGTGATGTTGGGAACCTTAGTGGGGCGGTCGGGGTGCATCCACATGCGCAGTCAGCGCGCGCGATCGATGATCGCGATCGTCATATTTTTGCGCATGCGCTCTGTGTGTGGCCGACTCATATATACACTTAGTGTGTTACTGTTAGTAGCCATACAGCTATACACACTACAGATTTGTTGGGTGTAATAAGTCAGTTCACTTAGGTTTGTTTGTTTGTCCTGCGTGCCATGATCTCTTTAGGAGTAGCTACCATAACATCCACATCTCCAACCTCTCTTCTCTTGTCTTCTGCTCTGATCATGTGTTGGAGTTATGAAATACTTTGGATATTATTGGACAGTTTGCAAATGTCACTCACCTTCCTTTGTACTAAGAAGTATTATTTTCACAAGTGCTCCCACTCGGTACAGTCCAGAGTAGAGAGAGGGTGATGGTCCCATACTCCAGTACTGGTAGTGTTGGACAGTCAACTATAAAGTACAAACATTTTAAAAAAAATACAACAACACTTTCAGCAACCTTGATTGAAACTATGGTGATATCCACAGTGGCGTTCATAGTAGCAGTGGAGCGAGGGAGAGTAGCTACACAGGTGTATATCCCAGTCATATTCCTGGTGGTAGTCACTATATCAAGTTCCCCACTCTCACTGACCATCTTTCCATCAGGAGAGATCCATTGTAAAGTTGGTTGAGGGTCTGAGTTTGACCCATCACACAATAGATGTAGTGGACTTCTTTCAATAACCTCTGTTGCCCCCATAATTAGTGGAGGCTTAAAAACTGGTGGAGATATTTTAGTGATAGTGATATATACCAACTATAATCTCGCGAAGTTTCATACCTTTAAAGAGCAAAAATCCCACTTTTACCATGAAAAAATTCCCATGCATAAATAGTCAGATTCTCTACATTTGATAGCCACACCTCACAGCATTGTATGATTGTATTCGAGAATGTACTGAACACACTGCCACTGTCATTCACTACCAGTGTATCTGAATGACTATGTGGATATTTCTTCACCACTCTTCCCAGAGTGCTGCTTGGAAGTAACATTTGTGCCATTCACTATGAACAACACCTCATTTATGAACACCTTATATTGTGTGTAGTCACATTCGAAGCAGACTGTATCCAGGGAGGCATTCACATAGATGATGGTGTTATTGACACGGGTAAGGTTCACAGTTGTCCCACAATCCTCAGGTCCTGACTCAGACGAGCACACTGAAAGAACAATCATTGAACCAGCATAGCTAGCTACCTATGAACCTACAACATCTCAACCAGATCCAGCATATCAACACAGTGTAGCGAATTTTAATCAAGAAGGAACATGGCACATGGCGCTTCATTGTGCTTTATCCCTGCCGGCAAAACGCGCCACCACTGATTGCAGCGCAGCGAAATCTCATGCGATCTGACTGCGCATGGGCATGGGCGCGGACAATAGAGCGGCGAATGTAAAAAAACTCGTATATGCATGCACACAGCAGTTAAATAAGAGTTCTTGCAGGTAACGGTGAGGGAAGTTGTTCATCGTCAGCTCCACGAGGGGGAAGTGGAGGAGTTGGATTAAATTCTCTGACCACCAGAGACTCTGGCAGATCGTTGCTCACTTTTATGGGCAGTGAACCTTTCATAAAACCACATATCATAGAGATTACCATGGATTGCACTAAATTGTGAACGAGTCGTAGTTAGCTGGTATACCTGAGACATAGACCTGTCTGAGGGAGTGAGCCAGGTCATGGTGACCAATGCTGTCCACCACATCAGCTATCTCCCTCCACGTGGGCTTGTTGGGGTGGAGGTTGGCCAGCCATCCATCCACCACCTCCACCATTGCCTCACTCTCACTACCCACCTAGACAGAGAGAGATCACAATAAGACAATACATTATTCCCATGGTTGACATACATATTCAGATATTTCGTCCAGCCTCTGTACACCAACTGCCTCTCCCAGTCTCCTCCAGTGAGGAGTGACTTCCCTCAACTGAATGAGGATCTGGTCCAGACTCACCTTTGAATCTGCAGAAAGTGATACACACTATACATAACCGTCTTTCACAACTTTTGCCACTACTACTTGGTTTTAGAGTGCAGCATTCACTAAAAACCTTGAATTGCAAATGACTTTTTGCACGTATATACCAGCAAGTATGGCTTTAAGAAGGTAGAAGGAATACTCAGAGTAGTATAAAAGGTATACCCTTACAGACCCCCAAAAGTGACAGCACACTTCTGAAGAGTACTACAATAGGCCCATTGAATATCTGCTGAGTATATTGACCAGCATACTCAAAACAATGAGTTGCTTTTGACCTAGATCATGTGTTGGAGGAGGTGTCTGAGGAGGTGGTGGTTGTTGGCTGGCCATGGCATTGAGGTCCAGAGCGGCATACTCAACTCTATCTGCAACCAGACCAAAACCACCTCCTTCTGTATTTAGACTCACTTCCACATACAGCAGACCCTAGGAAACAACACAGGCTGGAGTCACATGAGCATGATGGTGCATTTGCATGTACATACATACCTTGAAACCTGTACTACAAACTTGAAAGGTCCTCTTATGAACATGCAAGCACTTTTACGGAGATTGAAATGAATAACACTGGGCTGGAGTCATCTGCTACACATGCCTTTCAGCAAATTTACTGTGTAAACACCCATTTGGGAGGAATGTATAGTTAAGCTAAAGCTTTTTCACAAAAGTTCAGAGTCAACACCACAGTTTTGTTTGGGGAAAGAGATGGCAGTAGAGACACGTAGAGGGGTGGGCATAATAATGGCTTGCATGGTGGGTACAAGAATATCCACCTACATCGTTGTAAAAAGTTTATGCAAGACTTTGAAGCAACTCATTTAACTTTTCAGGGCCTGACAGTTTGGGGAAACATGCATTGGCTGAGACAGTTACCTTTTGTTGATTCCCTTGTGGTGGTTTCTGAGCTACTGTTCTGCTGGGTTCAGGTGTCGGGTTTTCTTCCACTGTCTGGACTACACAGTATGCACCGATTAGTCCTGTTGTGTGCTCTGGAACAATAGAATACTGCTGCTGTCCATTTGGCTTTCTGGTTTCTTGTGGTACTTCTGGTGGCTGAGGCACAGGTGATTGTTTTAGTTCATCCTGCGAGTCAGAATATGACCCAAATACCTCACTAGTTGGTTCTGGTATGGTCGTGATCATTGAGTACTGTCCCAGGGGAATGGGAGGTGTGGTGGTAGGCTGGGGCTCTGAGGGTTTCCCGTTGGGCTCTGCCGGTGTTGTTAGCTGTGACTCTATCACGAAAGACCATCCATTTAGTGTTGTTGTTGCTGTTGTTCCTTCTGATGTTTTCTTGACCACAGGCAAGTATTGGGAATTTTTCACTGCCATTTGCTGCTGTTGATCACTATGGTTGAAAGATATGAAAATTGTACATGCTCAGCTTTCAAAGGCATGCATAGAAAAATACTATCATGGATGTCTATTATTCATGACTAAAACACGACTGAACTTAGTCTGTATGTATGTACATTACCTATTTTCTCTCAGAAGGTACTGTTTTCCCTTTCCTATATATGGCATCATGAAAGTTTGGGAGTCAAACATTGTAAACAGAACAGGTATTGGAAGGGGACTTACTCCTGCTTCTCTTGCAGACACACACAGCAGTTATCACAGCACAGGTGGTGATGCAGCAGAGCAGGAGAAGTCCCACTGCCCCTGCTCCCCACGGTAGCCACTTACTATACCTCTCAAAGAGAGATTCTGAAAAGAATCATGCAGTATAAACAGATGCGCTTGACTAAACATAGATTGATGCTGTTTTAGAATACCTGCTTCTTTCGATGTGCAGTCAGGGCTAGGGTCCCATACTCCAGTACTGGTACACTGAGTAGTGTACACATCAGTGGGACCATCCCTACACTGATAGGTAGCAGTACTACCCACTGCAGTGGAGCTCATGTTGACTATCATGGTATCCGTAGAATTTAGTGTTGGACAGTCAACTATAAAGTACAAACATGTTTAAAAAAAAACAGCAACACTTTCAGCAACCTTACTTGGAACTATGGTGATATTGACAGTGGCAGTCATTGTAGCGGTGGAGTGAGGGAGAGTAGCTACACAGGTGTATATCCCAGTCATATTCCTGGTGGTAGTCACTATATCAAGTTCCCCACTCTGACTGACCATCTTCCCATCAGGAGAGATCCATTGTAAAGTTGGTTGAGGGTCTGAGTTTGACCCATCACACAATAGATGTAGTGGACTTCCTTTGATTATTGTAGTTTCTCCCATAATTAGTGGAGGATTAAAGGCTAGTGGATGTGTAATGTATTAAGGTTTCATGCATGAAAAATACTATGACCTCACCATAATAAAAGAAAATTCCTACTTTAGCCATGATATAATATTCAACCTGCATAATAATTTGTTGTCTTGCACCATAGTAATATGATTGACCTCACAGCACTGTACATAAGTAACTGAGAATGTACTGAATGCACTCTCACTGTCAAACACTACAAGTGAGTCGATGCCCTGTGTGTCATTCTTCACTACTTTTGCCAAGGTATTGGTGGAATTGATTACTGTGTTATTGAATCGAAACACATATTCATTGGCAAAAAACATGTCACGTTCACACTGAAAACACAACGTCCCATTGGGTACGTAGATGATGGTGTTATTGACACTGGTAAGGTTCACAGTTATCTCACAATCTCAGGTCCTAGCTCAGACGAGTACACTGAAGCAAAACTTTGAACCAAGCATATCTTCAACTTACACAGACTTACCACTGCTCCACCAGATCCAGCACATCAGCACAAAGTAACGAATCGTAATCAAGAAAGCTCGTGGCACGTGGCGCTTCATAACGGCTTCACCTTTTTCCACTAGAGCTCCCCATATGAGCGGGAGACAGATGTTGTAAGCCGGAGTGGGGCGGTCCGTGCAGGTTCAGCGCGCGCGATCGATCGTCGTCACATTTTTGCGCATGCGCTCTGCGTGTGGCCGACTACGTAGTTAGTTTTCAATTTGCACACTTGGTGTGTTACTGTTAGTGGGCACACAGCTACACTGTATAGTTTTCTTGTGTGTACTAAGTCAGTTCACTTGCTTGTCCTGCATGCCATGATCTCTTTTGGAGTTCCGTAAGCCACATTGAAATCCATCTCTAACCGCTCTTCTCTTTTTCTCTGCTCTGATCCTGTGGTGGAGTTATGACATAGTAGTTTGGACATTGTTGGACAGTTTGCAAATGTCTCACCTTTCTTTGTAAGAAGTACTATTTTCACAAGTGCTCCCACTAGCAGACCAGTTTGAACCAAGACAATGAGAGAGAGAATTATTACTCCAACTTGACATGGTTGAAGAGTAGACGTTTGTCCTGTGTGAGGCACATAAACATGTTTGTAAGAGAGAGTTGCGGTTTTATCAGCACAAACAACAGTAGTTTGTTTTGCAAACTACAACAGGGGAGAAACAAATGTTTACCTGGCTCATTAGACTCAATACAGTCCAGAGTAGAGAGAGGGTGAGGGTCCCATACTCCAGTACTGGTACACTGAGTAGTGTACACATCAGTGGGACCATCTCTACACTGATAGGTAGCAGTACTGCCCATTGCAGTGGAGCTCATGTTTACTATGATGGCGTCTGTTGACTTCAATGTTGGACATTCAACTGTGTGATTGTGCAATATTAGAAGATGGGACAACACTTTTAGCAGCCAACCTTACTTGAAACTATGGTGATGTTGACAGTGGAGTTCATAGTAGCAGTGGAGTGAGGGAGAGTAGCTACACAGGTGTATATCCCAGTCATACTCCTGGTGGTAGTCACTATATCAAGTTCTCCACTCTGACTGACCATCTTCCCATCAGGAGAGATCCATTGTAAAGTTGGTTGAGGGTCTGAGTTTGACCCATCACACAATAGATGTAGTGGACTTCCTTTGATTATTGTAGTTTCTCCCATAATTAGAGGAGGATTAAAGGCTAGTGGATGTGTAATGTATAAAGGTTTCATGCATGAAAAAATCTGTATGACCTCACCATAATAAAAGAAAACTCCTACTTTGGCCATGATATAACTCAACCTGCATAATAATTCGTCTTGCACCATAGTAATATCATTGTCCTCACAGCACTGTACATAAGTAACTGAAAATGTACTGAACGCACTCTCACTGTCAAACACTACAAGTGAGTCGATACCCTGTGTGTCATTCTTCACTACTTTTGCCAAGGTATTGGTGGAATTGATTACTGTGTCATTGAATCGAAACACATATTCATTGAAAAAAAAATGTCAGTTTCACACTGAAAACACGACGTCCCATTGGGTACATAGATGATGGTGTTATTGACACTGGTAAGGTTCACAGTTGTCCCACAATCCTCAGGTCCTAGCTCAGACGAGTAGACTGAAGCAAAACATTGAACCACATATCTTCAACTTAGCTACGGACTTACCACAGCTCCACCAGATCCAGCATATCAACACAAAGTGGTAACGAATCGTAATCAAGAAGGCTCGTGGCACGTAGCGCTTCATAACGGCTTCACCTTTTCCTAGATCCTATGGAGTGGTGGGGCGGTCGGTGTATATGCCACGCGCACGCCGTCAGCGCGCGATGGTCACATTTTTGCGCATGCGCTCCGTGTGTGGCGATGATGTCCATCGCATCCGGTCCCCACACAGCCACATCCCTCCATGTGGTCACAGTAAGTGTATTTCCCATGGTTAGGATTAATTTGCACACTTGGTGTGCTGTTAGTGGGCATAACTTAAGTCAGTACACTTAGGTTTGTTTGGTGGTTCTGAGTGCCATGATCTCTTTAGGAGTACCATAAGCCACATTGACATCCATCTCTAACCTCTCTTCTCTTGTCTTCTGCTCTGATCCTGTGGTGGAATAATGACATGGTTTGGATATTGTTGGACAGTTTGCAAATGTCTCACCTTTCTTTACTATTTTTAAAAGTACTCCCACTAGTAGACCAGTTTGAACCAAGACAATGAGAGAGAGAATTATTACCCCAATTTGACATGGTTGAAGAGTAGACATTTATCCTGTGTGAGGCACATAAACATGTTTGTAAGAGACAGTTGCGGTTTTATCAGCACAAACAACAGCAGTTTGCTTTGCAAACTACAACAGGGGAGAAACAAATGTGTACCTGGTCCATTAGACTCAGTACAGTCCAGAGTAGAGAGAGGGTGAGGGTCCCATACTCCAGTACTGGTACACTGAGTAGTGTACACATCAGTGGGACCATCTCTACACTGATAGGTAGCAGTACTGCCCACTGCAGTGGAGCTCATGTTGACTATCATGGTTTCCATAGAATTTAGTGTTGGACAGTCAACTATAAAGTACAAACATTAAAAAATAACAACAACACTTTCAGCAACCTTACTTGGAACTATGGTGATATCAACAGTGGTGTTCATAGTAGCGGTGGAGCGAGGGAGAGTAGCTACACAGGTGTATATCCCAGTCATATATCTGGTGGTAGTCACTATATCAAGTTCCCCACTCTCACTGACCATCTTCCCATCAGGAGAGATCCATTGTAAAGTTGGTTGGGGTCTGAGTTTGACCCATCACACAATAGATGTAGTGCACTTCCCTCAGTAACCTCTGTTATCCCCATAATTAGTGGAGGGTTGAAAACTGGTGGAGGTATACTTTATTGATAGTGAAACCAACTATGATCTCCCAAAGTTACATACCTTTGAAGAGCAAAACTCCTACTTTTGCCATTGCATAGTTCCCACGGCATAAACGTTTCTCACAGCATTGTATGTTTGTATCCCAGAATGTACTGAACACACTGCCACTGTCATTCACTACCAGTGTATCTGAAAGATCATGTGGATAATTCTTCACCACTCTTCCCAGAGTGCTGTTGGAAGTAACAACTGTGCCATTCACCCTGAACACCACCTCATTAATGAGACCAAAACTTGTGTGTGGTCACATTCGAAGCATACTGTATCCAGGGAGGCATTAACATAGATGATGGTGTTATTGACACTGGTAAGGTTCACAGTTGTCCCACAATCCTCAGGTCCTGGCTCAGATGAGTAGACTGTATATAATCAAACCAAGAACGTTGTGAGCATAAATACTCTGTAGACTTACCACAGCTCCACCAGAGCCAACAAATTAAATAATAAGTGGAGAACATTTCTCATGAAGAATGCTTCATTCTGCCACTGTGTGCTATACGGGCCGCCCTCGCCCTGCCGTAGGCAAAAATGTAGAGCGCATGCGCAATTTCGCAAAACCGACGTGCCGCTCACGCTCAGTGGCGGCGCGTTTTGCAGACGGGTCAATGAAGCGCCATGTGGTATGTTCCTTCTTGATTTAGATTCGTTACACTGTGTTGATATGCTGGATCTGGTGGAGCTGTGGTAGGTTCATAGCTAAGCTATAGCTATGATTGCAGCGCGGCGAAAATTGTTATTTGCGCATGCGCATTATGCGATGTGACTGCGCATGGCCCCATGGGCGCAGACAATAGAGAATGAATGTCAAAAACTCATATTATGCACACAGCAGCTAAGTAAGACTATGTAAAAGTTCTTGCAGGTAACGGTGGAGGAAGTTGTTCATCATCATCAGCTCCACGATGGGGGAAGTGGAGGAGTTGGAGTTAATTCTCTGACCATCAGAGACTCTGGCAGGTCATTGCTCACTTTTATTGGCAGTGAACCTTTCATAAAACAACATTGTAGTATATAAATCATAAAGATTACCATGGATTACAGCAAATTAGAAACATTGTGAATGAGTGTAGTTAGCTGGTATACCTGAGACATAGACCTGTCTCACACCACATTTTACCGAAGGCATGCACACTTTGTCCAAGTGGGGCAAATCACCTGAGATATAGACCTGTCTGAGGGAGTGAGCCAGGTCATGGTGACCAATGCTGTCCACCACATCAGCTATCTCCCTCCAGGTGGGCTTGTTGGGGTGGAGGTTGGCCAGCCATCCATCCACCACCTCCACCATTGCCTCACTCTCACTACCCACCTAGACAGAGAGAGATCACAATAAGACAATACATTATTCCCATGGTTTACATACATATTCAGATATTTCGTCCAGCCTGTGTACACCAACTGCCTCTCCCAGTCTCCTCCAGTGAGGAGTGACTTCTCTCAACTGAATGAGGATCTGGTCCAGACTCACTTCCAAATCTGTAGAAAGCAACATAATAGCATATACAGCAGTTATGCTTCTTCTGAATTGTAACACTTTGTCAACCAGACCTGGATCCTGCAGAGGCTCTGCTGCTGCTGGTGGTACTGCCCTCACTGTGGCAGTGTGGTCCAGAGAGGCATACTGGACTCTGTCTGACTGGGGGTTGAACATTTGTCTGCGAGTCTGAGAGATGTGTGGACCCACCTCTGCATAGACGAGGGTCTAAGACATAGCAGAGAGAGAAATTGGGTAGATATATTGGCTGTGGTAAAATTAACAACTTAACTTAAGCACATTTATGTCAGTCAGTGCATGCTTCTACATCAAAGCACGCAAGAATGGACGATGTGCTTCTGGGTACACATGAAATGTTTCTTCTATGTGTGTTATGCAAACGTCATAGTGAAAATATACCGTAAGAATGGCAAAACATGGTGCTGACTCTTTGGGGTTAGTGTGAAAATCACAGTGGACGATGTATAAGCATTCCTAGCTAACCTTGACAGTGTGTGGAGGCATAGGAGGTAGTGTGGATGGGGTATTATCAGTATATACACAAGGAAAATGCGTGATTAGCAGGCGACTATGAAACTAAAAGGACACAATTTGTGTTTCCAATTGTCGTTATAAAATACTTCCCATATTGAGAGCATTTTGACAAGGTAAATAAACACTAACTACCTGTTTCCTCGTGTCCAGGTCTTTTCCCCACATGTTTACTGCTTCTTGGACCGCAGAGTACTGGTCATTGAGTTCTGTTGTACCATGTGGTTCAACAGGCAGCACTTTGGTCTGTTTTGGCTTCTTTTGGACCACTGCATACTGTGCATTGGGGTCTGGGGACTGTTGTGGGTCTGTGTGGACTGGCAGCTCTTTGGCTTGTTTCGGTTTCTTTTGGACCACTGAATACAACTGTGTGTTTGGTTCTGTGGTCTGTTGTGGTTCTGCCGGTAGCGGGGGCTCCTTGCCTTGTTTCGGTTTCTTTTGGACCACTGAATACAACTGTGTGTTTGGTTCTGTGGTCTGTTGTGGTTCTGCTGGTAGCGGGGGCTCCTTGGCTTGTTTCGGTCTCTTTTGGACCACTGAATACAACTGTGTGTTTGGTTCTGTGGTCTGTTGTGGTTCTGCCGGTAGCGGGGGCTCCTTGGTTTGTTTCGGTCTCTTTTGGACCACTGAATACAACGGTGTGTTTGGCTCCGTGGTCTGTTGTGGTTCTGCTTCGACCAGAGAATACTGCCCATTGAGCTCTGTTGTCTCCGAGCACGGTGCTGTCGTCTGCTGCAGCTCCAATGAGCTTTCTTGTTTACCTCTCTCTCCAGATACCTCTCCAACACTTTCTGTGTCACTATCACAAGTAATATGAAGTAACTATTTAGACAAAAGGCTATGTATGTATTATGAAACTAGTTGTTTGTGCATCAATCATGTTGATGTTGCATACATTGCACCCATGGTCTATAGCTACCAAAATGAGTGCTTTTCAAACCTATAGGAGACTGATGTATAAATAGCTGCAAGACATGGTAGGTAGTTCCTGTTGACACTTTTGAATTTCTCATCCGTTGTTTTTTTAGAGTCCAGGGCCATGCATACCAAATATACAATCGTAAAATGCCATGCATTTGTGTATTTTCACCTTTTGTAACTTTGCTTGTAGCATCTTTTGACACCTGCATAATGTTAAAAAACATGCTATTGGATGAGACCACAGACTGGCTAGTGGGCTGATGGCCTTTCACAGCACGTGCTACTAGTAAGTGTTTGTACTTGTGTCCATCCTAAGACAACGTCTCTAAAAACTGTGGGTCAGCGGCTTACTTGTCCGTCTCCTTAGAACAAACACCACTACAACAACTGTAGTAGTGCAGAGTACGCACCAGCAGAAGAATAGTAATAGCCACCCCAAGAATGGCTGGTAGTCCAAACACCTCCTTTACCAGATGACACACCTGCAGTATAGAGTGTGTAGCTTGGATCAAACATAAGTTATTCATTCAGAATATGCAGGCCTGTGTGGCATCTACAAACCTGGATCATTAGATTCAGTACACTCCAGTGTATAAGGGTGAGGGTCCCATACTCCAGTACTGGTACACTGAGTAGTGTACACATCAGTGGGACCATCTCTACACTGATAGGTAGCAGTACTGCCCACTGCAGTGGAGCCCATCACCACAATGACTGTGTCTGTTGACTTCAGCTTTTCACATGTGACTGAAAATTAGAAAGGAGCATAGTACAACATAAGTGTTAGGAAGGCCTATTCTGTCATATTATATAGAAAGAGTTATTTTATTACCTGTCTCTTTACTACAGTCCAGAGTAAAGAGAGGGTGAGGGTCCCATACTCCAGTACTGGTACACTGAGTAGTGTACACATCAGTGGGACCATCTCTACACTGATAGGTAGCAGTACTCCCCACTGCAGTGGAGCCCATCACCACAATGACTGTGTCCGTAGAATTTAGCTTTTCACATGAAACTGAAAATTAGAAAAGATCATAGTGCACCTATTATTTAAACCTGAGCTAAGTATGAAGTACATACCTGTCTCTTTACTACAGTCCAGAGTAGAGAGAGGGTGAGGGTCCCATACTCCAGTACTGGTACACTGAGTAGTGTACACATCAGTGGGACCATCTCTACACTGATAGGTAGCAGTACTGCCCACTGCAGTGGAGCTCATGTTGACTATGATAATGTCAGTAGACTTTAGCACATCACAGGGGACTGAAGAATGCAGAAAAATAATATGAAAAACAAGCCATGATTACTTACAGTGGACTATGATCTCCACAGAGCTGTTCATGGTGAGTGTAAACTGGTTGGCTACACAAGTATAGGTCCCTGCCATGTCCCTAGTGATGTTACTGATCACAAGGGCTGAACCGTAAACAAGGAAGTTCCCATCAGGAGAGAACCACTGGAGAAGAGGTAGTGGTCTGGAGTTGGTGGAGTCACACATCAGACGTAGTGTATCTCCTTCATTGACTGTAGTCTCTCCCGTGATCAGGGGAGGCCTGAGAACTTGAAAGTTGCTGCAGTTGGTATACAATTAATATGTCCCATACATTACTTACTGGTGTGCTCCACAGTGACTTGATTAGTCACACCACCACTGCCACATCGTACATTAGTGGGTGTACTGAAGACACTCTCAGTGTCAGACACTACTAGTGTACCATTCACCACTGATCCCTCACTGACTGGTGAGTTGCCTATCAGGAACGTGGCATCAGTAGCTATCACTCCGTCAATGATGCACTCAAAACACGCAGTTCCAGAGGGAACATCGACAGTGGCTGTGTATTAATTGCTACAGTTGCAGTGCAATTCTCTGGTCCGAACTGGGAAGAGCTCACTGGATAGAAATGTCACACTAATTAATCCATCATCATGACTATACACCGCCTTACCACAGCCCCACCAGACACAGACCACCAACAATCCTCGGACACGGAGGAGAAGCATTACTGCGATAAAAATAGCGGCGCATGCGCAAATGGTTAGGGGCGTCGCCTAAACAATTCGTGTTAACTTTGTATATTGTAAATCTAATCACTGTTTTTTGCTGGTTCTAAGTGCCATGATCTCCTTAGGAGTACCATAAGCCACATTGACATCCATCTCCAACCTCTCTTCTCTTGTCTTCTGCTCTGATCCTGTGTTGGAGTTATGACATAGTTCGGATATTGTTGGACAGTTTGCAAATGTCTCACCTTTCTTTGTAAGAAGTACTATTTTCACAAGTGCTCCCACTAGTAGACCAGTTTGAACCAAGACAATGAGAGAGAGAATTATTACCCCAACTTGACATGGTTGGAGTCCTGTGTGAGGCACATAAACATGTTTGTAAGAGACAGTTGCGGTTTTATCAGCACAAACAGCAGTAGTTTGTTTTGCAAACTACAACAGGCTACCTGGCACATTAGACTCAGTACAGTTCAGTGTAGAAGGATGAGGGTCCCACACTCCAGTACTGGTACACTGAGTAGTGT